CCTGGCTCCACGTACAATATTTATTGCTGCTGCTCTATTCGAAGTTCGCCCTTTGCGCGTAGCCCAAACATGACGTGACCGACTGCGAATAGTGCTGCTTGAGAATGCCAAGATACTAGGATCGCTACCTGAGCTTACTTCGTTTGAAGCAGAAGGTGTTGCAAGTCCCGGCACATCATTCATCAAAGCACCAGAAACCCCCTCATGAACGTCTTCATCGCCCGAAAGTAATGATGACTCTTCTGACTGATTATCACTTTCAACATTATCCACCAATACAGTGTCTTCAGTTTCGCTATCGGATAATTCCTCCAATGCCCAGTCATCGTCCTCGTCCATTAACAAACGCATTATACTTTCCTCACACAGCAATCGACTTGAAGCCATGATTAAAACTGTAAAAAATAAAAAACATATATTACATTAAATCCCTAACCATTCGTCGAAACGACGAGCATTATCGTAATATCTAGAAAAATATCGTACTTACCCACCAAACACATGTGCCTCTCAGAAAAGCTTAGCGAACACTGAGTTGACAAGCAACGTTGGGATGATCAAACCTCGCGGGCAAGAGAGGCAACGAATATTCTTTCTCGTGCTCTTCGAATCGACGAAGGTTAGCTGTCTAGGGTTAATTTCATCATTTTCCTCATTTAAAAAATTGTGCAAAACGCAGCACGCTTTTATGACAATTTTCGTGTTGGCCATGTGGTTATCCAAGCCTTTTCCAAACCGTCTAAACCTTCCCTTTAAATGACCAAAAGCATTCTCCACCACTCTTCGGCATTTCGAGAGTACATAGTTGAATTTTGTTTTATCCAAAGGTTGGTTTACACAAAATGGGTATGGTTTCATCAAATGTTCATCAAATTTGAACGCAGAGTCGCCCAAAAAAATGACTGGAACGTTAACTGACGATATTTGTCTAGTCATGTCTTTAAATATAGTAGATTGTGCCAACTCGCGTTTTAAAGATGATTTCTCAAATATTGAAGAGTCATTACAACGGCCGGGACTACCAACGTTGATGTATATAAAGCGGCATTTATAGCATTAAAGAAATGGTGGTATGGTGTTTAAATGAGCTTCATGAAAAAACTTACCTTGCATCTACAAAAGCCAAAAGAACTGTGGAATACCAGCCTTTGTAATTGTAGTAGTCAACAGCATCCTCTGCAGCCGGGCGAACTTTTATATGACAACCATCTGAAACTTAAAAATATATAAAAGCTCCAATGTAAAAAATTTAACTAATTACCTATAGCTCCTAACACTTGAGGGAAACCCAATGACTCAAAGCCATTTAAATACTCGCGCAATTGAATTTCGTTCATTGGGAATTTCTTCAAATACAAAGGCCACAAACAACGCCAGACTTCATGACAGAAATCAATTAGAATGGAGCAGACAGTGCTTTTACCAATTCCGAACATATTTCCAATTGATCGGCATACTGCAGAAGAGCCAAGAGCATATAAAGCAATGACAATGCGTTTCTCTAATTGAATTGCTTTGCGGTAGCTAGTGTTTTTCTTCTCCAAGCCTTTCAACATCTGAATTCACCTGGCAGTCGACTTCCCAAAACATTTGGCCACGAGTCTGAATTATATACACATAATTAAACGAAGTTATAGTACGAATATTTATATACATATGTACTTGCCTTTATCCAAATAGACCTTGTTCAATTTGCTCCATATTGACTACACATTTTTAGCGCTACCTGTACATACAGCAAACGTTTCAGTGCTACGCGGTTAGAATCACTTAAGAACACTTTTGGGTTATGAAATGCTTAAATGTAATCTAATCTCTTAAATTTTCGGTGTGAACATAGTATTAGTGGGATAATCCATTCAAAATCCGAAATCGTGTAATTAAGTGTCGGTCTGAACATGGTTCATTCAGGACTTTGGTACAAAACTTATTTGATTCTGTCAAGTTAAATTGAATAAGGAAAGTATGGTATACGTCATGAAAATTGTATAATCCCTCCTTCAGTGGTACAAGGTTTTGTTTTGCAGATTTTATTTTTTATTCTTTTTTATGCTAATTATAGTTTGCAAAAAATTAAAATGACAAAAGAAACTTCAAATTTCTTTTTTATGTGGATTTTTTTTAAATATAACACTTAAAATCAATTGTAATAATTTATAGGAAAAAAAAAAATTGTTACATCAACGTTTAAAAAAAAAACGAAAACGAAAAACTTAATTTCAGCACTAAGTAACACCATGTGAATGCGTCAGAAGAAATTTTAGCGCGGGGTTGCACCATACTATAGATAAATTGATCAGAAACTCTTTTCTAACTCTCTCGCTTGTCAGCTGGCTGCTGATTTGTTTTCTGAGCTGGCAACAAAACACAATCGGGTTCCCGTGAATTAGCAGTCAGAGAAAAAGACGGGATGCCTGAAGAATAGCCCAAAAACGAATTGTCAAAATTAGTGCCAGTGAGAGAGCAATTGCTAAACGTCAAAACCTACCGAACTTTGACAGTTGACTGGATTGAGTAGGTTTTGACGTTTTGCAATTGGAATGACTGGAACGGCCAGATTGAAATTATACCAAAAATATATGTGAACGGAGGAATTTATTGCCGCCGTTCAAGATCGCTAATAAAAATTTAAAACAATA